TTACAGGACAGACAGAGCTACATATTGAGACTCTGGCATAAAACAAAACAACAACAAAGAAACTGTGTGTGTGTGTGTGTGTGTGTGTGTGTGTTACATTGATCCAATGTTCATAGATATACATGGTTGAAGAACATTTCTAACAGAGGATAGAAGTATTTTTTTCCTCATGCTCTTATATAAGAAATTAAGATAAAATAATTTCTATCCCATGGCATTATTCCTTGAAATATCAAATAAATATTTTATAGCATCTATAGCTTTTTTAAGAACTCAGCTTCAAAGCATCCAATTGTTTGTACTGTTGACAGATGTCGAAGAGAAACTGACCTGAGCTAATACATTGCCAAGGCCAGTTGCTGTCTGTCACTAATCCATTTTTGTATGCATAGCTTTAAAGGATGCTGTAGGTCTGTCCTACCTTTTCTTGTGTATTCTGTGAGGGTGACTTTCATTTAAAGTGAGACAGTCACAGAAAAATGTGAAGCAATGCCTGGTGTATGGTGTTACCTCCACAAATAGGAATTACAGACGAATTAAATAGTATTGTTGAACATCTAGTAATGTCCAGACATTTAACAGTCAGAAATATTTGTTAAGCAAATTATGCTTGGTTAACCAATTTTATAGAATTGTGAAGATTACCATAACTTTAATACGATAAATATTCTTTCTGTTTGAACTCTAGTCTTTTGGGCCAGTGGGATTTATGAAAAAGGCCATCAGTATGTCCGAGGATGAAGAATGGAAGAGACTTCGAACACTGCTCTCTCCAACATTCAGCAGTGGAAAACTCAAGCAGGTGATGATGGAGAGGGAATTTACTGAAATAAATCTAGGGACAGGTAGAAAACTAGCCCATAGTCCTTTTCCAAGGGTCGGTCCTCTGCATTACAGTTCCTATAAGATGGCCTTTCATTTTCACACCCAGAGGATCCATTATAAAATCCACTGTAACATATGACTCATTGCTTTGTTACTGGGAACAAGTTGTCTTTCTAGTACCTGAGTTTCCACATTTAGCCTCAAATGTTGTGTTTTATGCTTAGATGTTTCCCATCATTGGACAGTATGGAGATACGTTGGTGAAAAACTTGAGACGGGAAGAAGAGAAAGGGAAGCCCGTCACCATGAAAGAGTAAGTGGTGGTGTGGTTGAGAGCACTGCAAGCACCTTAGCATCCCCTCAACTACAGGAAAATGACATCTGCAAACCAACCACAGGTAAACACCCCATGTGTGAGTGCAACAGGAGCCTTGACCCCACCGATGGTCCAACCTGTGGTTCTGACTGTGTGGCTCCCTGCCTGGGTAGCTCAGAAGTAGAAGCTGCCTCAGATGCAGATGTTGATTTCCATCTCTCTCTATTCAGCATCCTTGGAGCTTATAGCATGGATGTGATCACTGGCACATCATTTGGAGTGAACGTCGATTCCCTCAACAACCCACAAGATCCATTTGTACAGAAAGCCAAGAAGATCTTAAAGTTTTCAGTTTTTGATCCATTTCTTCTCTCCATATGTATGTACACTATTTTTTTTCTCTTTTTTTGTCCTGGATCTCCTTCTGTAGACCAGGCTGGCCTTGAACTCACAGATAATTTGCCTGCCTCCGTCTCCTCAAGTGCTGGGATTAAAGGTGTGTACCACCACCACCCAGCTTCTTCTTTCTTTTTATTACTCTCTCCTACACAACAATCAAAATAACACCATAATTGAGATATAGTTCACATGTAAAAAGTTCAACTATTTAAAGTGTATAATTCAATTTTTGTTCACCAAAGGGACAAGAACCCATCACCCTTGTTAACCAGGAAGTGTGTTGTCCAATCAAAATTACACCTTTTCATTCTCATCTTCCATTCCTCTGCACCATAAGAAATGTTCCATTAACTATCTGTTCCTGTAAAACTGCCTATTCTGAGCATAACATTAAAACACAATATAAATATTTTTTAGAGTATATGGAATTTGGCAACTAGTTTCTGTCATTGATGTCAAATATATGTTTAACATCATATATTCAGCAGACCCATTTGTTGCCACTCCTATGTTCCATCATATTCCGAATTATCTGATAACTGGACATTTTTTTTCATGGTTTTTGAGTAGGAAATTGGTGTGGGATTAATGAATTATAGAGGATTTTTTTTATCTGACTTGTTGGGGAACTGAAATTTTTTCAGGACTTTTTGTTTGTTTTGCTGCCAGTAGTTCAGAAGGGTTCCATTTTCTCCAAATTTCACCCACATTGGGTGCCAGATGAAAATGGAATTTACAAATTAATCCCACAGTAGCTCAGAACTGCGTATACTAAAGGGTTATTTATTTAGGGGTAGACTCACAGATCATAGTCCTCTGCACAAACAGGGAACAGGAACTGAATCCTGAAGTCGGAAGACAGAGTGAATGCTTGTCTTACATAGGCATTTATAGTATAAAAGGCCACACCTAAGTGGGCTGGTGTCTTAAAGGCTACTGGCCGAAGGAGTTCTTACAGCACCATCCCATCTGAAACTTCACTTTTTTCTTCAGGATTTTTTTATTATTGCCATCTTAGGGTACATTTAGGACTCCAACTTTATGGGGGATTATTTACAGTTCTTATTTTTTTAAAATTTTATACATGAGTATATATTTTCTTTATTTCTAGCACCTCTAACTCCACTCATGTCCCCAACTCCTTAAATCCACGACTCTTCCCTTATAACTATAATGGTTATATATAGATATATGCACATGTATATATCCTACAGAATCCATTTAGTGTTGCTCTTATATAAGTGCTTATGGTTAACTACTTGGGATTGGATCACCTATCTGGGACTCATCCTTGGGGAAAAATCATTCTTCCAATAGTCATTAGTTCCCCGTGGCTTTTCATCTAGAGGTAAAAACCAGTGGGATTTCCCCGTCTACATTGGCATGTCAACCAGTGTTATCATTGCACAGATATTATCTAAATAACACTATTATTGAGATTTCATGGGTCCAGTTTCTAGGCTGTGTCTAGAAGATGCAATCTCATATCAGACCTTCTCATATTCTTGGTTTTATACCCTTTCTACCCTCTCATTCATGATTTACCCTGAACCTTAAATAAAGAGATTGCCTTGTAGACATATCAGTTGATGTTGGACAATCCTTGGTCACTTATTCTCTGCATTTATTTTTTTCTCTGTAGTTCTGTTTCCATTCCTTACTCCAATATATGAGTTACTAAGTCTCTCCATTTTTCCAAGACAATCAGTGAACTTTTTCAAAAAATTTGTAACAAGCATGAAGAAAAATCGCCTTGATTCAAACCAGGAGGTAAATTTTGATGCTGCTTTCATGGTGCTCAGGGTTTGGTCATGATGCTCAGGATTTGGTCATGATGCTTGGGTTTTAGTCACAATGTTCAGGGTTTGGTAATGATACTCAGGGTTTGGTCACAATGCTAAGTGTTTGGTCATGATGCTTAAGGTTTTGGTCACAATGTTCAGGGTTTGGCCACAATGTTCAGGGTTTGGTCATGTATCAGGCTGTGAGTATGTGATTTATGTACTTTACTCTGGGTTCTCTTAAAAATAAATAAAACTATGCTTAGGGTAAGGCAATGTTTACATTTTAGGGAGAAGAAAAAGTTAGAAGATGGGTGATTCTATATGAGAATGATTGAGAGAAACAGTCTCACATTTGTCAAAAAGAGTGAATTTACTATGCTCTAAGATAATCATTAATTAAGGAAAAATATTGCCACCACACTTTATTGAAAGAAGTCAAAAATAGAATTCATACTTAGAAAATATATCTACTACTGTTATTCTTCTAAAGTTTATATTATCAAAAGGATGTTTTTAATTTTAAACCTCTTATTTTGATATAATCTTCAAAAGAAGTATGGTCATACCTGGTGGAGATTGGCCTATGTTAAATTTGAATGCCTCCTGCTTTGTGTATAGGTATTTTCTTGGCAGTGAGACCAGAAGCTACTCACCCAGTAGGTAAATACTTCCTCTGGACAATCAATTTTTAGGCTGCTCACCTGGCTCTGTTATATGTAGCCTGGAGGCCACAAAAAGGATGTTTGGAGATTATGGAGATGGGCACCTGTTAGGACACTTGGCATTGTATAGTGCCTAGAGTGTGTGAGAGTCAGGAGATGCTCACCCAAAACTTGGCAGTGAGAGTAGAGATAGAATTAATCAAAAGTGCCGGGCGGTGGTGGCACACGCCTTTAATCCCAGCGGGTGGGTCTCTGTGAGGTCAAGGCCAGCCTGGTCTACAAGAGCTAGTTCCAGGACAGGAACCAAAAGCTACAGAGAAACCCTGTCTCGAAAATCAAAAAAAAAAAAAAAAAACCAAAAAGAATTAATCAAAAGTGTTGCTGGTTGAGTACTGTGGTAAGAAAACACAGAAAGAGCTGGCGTTCAGGGATTTTCCTGAGCAAGCATGATGAGAGAAGGATGCAGTAGCTCTTTCACCAGGAATCTGCTCAAAAGCCAGAGAAACTTATATCAGGAGAATAAAGACCAAATGCTGCATTTCTCACAGGAAATGTATTGTTCTCCAAGGCTCGCTGCTAGAGTCTTTAGTTTTCCTTTCTTTTTTAATTGTGTGGGTGTTTTGCTCATCTGCATGCCATGTGCAGTCTCTGCAGAGGCCAGAAGAGGGCATGAGACCCCCTGGAACTGTAGTTCCAAGTGGTTGTGATTCACCTTGTGGGTACTAGAAACTGAACCCAGGTCCTCTGCAAGAGCACTTAATGCTCTTAACCACTGAGCAATTTCCTCAGCCCATAGATGTTTTTATTCATTGGTAACTCAAACCATACTTGTGGCTTCAGGTAGCCATATTCTCAGAAGGGAGGTGAAGTTCTGAACCCTTGTTTCAAGTCTGACCTCTCAACTAAATATTTATCATTGACTTTTCTCTTTCTGTTTCCAGACACGAGTCGATTTTCTTCAGCTAATGATGAACACTCAGAATTCAAAAGGCGAAGAGTCCCAGAAAGGTAACACAGGATACTTCACGGTGTGTGACTCAAGAAGCCCAGAGAGAAGACGGTATCAGAACGTATACATGGGGTGGTCCAGGATGGAAGAAATTCTAACAAATTTCAGAAAGATGTGCACATTGATGATATCTATGGGGTCCAAGGGAGCTTTCTAGAAGTTCACTGGACCAGAGCTTGTAGGGCTGCCAGAAAGATACATTTTGTTTCAGGAAGTCCTCATTGGTACTGGGTTATCTGTCAGAGAAGAGTCTGATTCTCATTTCCATTCAATCCCACTAATTCTGTATCTCTGCTGGGAATTTGCATCTAGGCCCCCATCAAAGTGCACTGTCCAGCAATGAGGATAATCCTTGGGAGAGAGTGGTGCAATTGTGTTCAACAGCTTCATCTGCGATTTATTCTGCTCTGTGTAAATAGCATCTGGGAAACTCTATACCCTGCTCTTCTTCATTCTTTTAACCCCCTGATTTCTTATCTCTGTGAATACTTTGTGATGAAAACTATTATTATTGTTGTAGCTACAGAATAATGACTTTTCTACTACCCTTTACTCTATGTTTACCAGCCATTACCTCGTGTAAAGGAATGTCCTCTTCTTTACTTTTTAAATTCTATCAGTTATCTAAATTTTGTTCAGTTGTTTCTATCACTGTGATCTCATGCATTCCCTGTTACTTTCCTTTAACCACTAGTTACTTTGCATTCAACTCTCTTATGCATACTCACTCAGGGCTCTTTTGTATGTCATGGTGGGTCCTTTTTTCTCTCTGTGTGTGTCTGTGTCTCTGTGTGTGTGCATACACACATGCACATGGGCTCACAAAGAAGAGAGGAGAATGTTGGCATTCTGCTATGTTATTCTTATTCTTTTGGGGCAGGGGCTCTAGATGCATGTGGATCTAGTCTGGTATCCAGAAAGCCCCAGTGACCCTCTTGGCTCCATTTCCCTTCCTCGATGGGGTTGCAAGAACACATGGTCACCTATTTATGTGAGTTCTGGTAATTTGAACTCGGAATCTTCCATTGGCACAAAAGGAACTCTTACTCACTGAACCATCTCTCCAGACCCCTTTAATTTAAATTTATTATTATTATTATTAATCATTTGTGTGGGGTATGAGTAAGTACACCTGCTATGTTATGCATGTGGCAGTCACAGGGTAACTTGTAGAGCCAGGGTTTTCTGTCCACCTTACATGGATACAGGAATCAAATTCAGTTCATCTGACTTGCTCAGCAAGTACCTTTAATCACTAAGCCATCTTACCAACCCTTATTTAATTTTTTGATTCCTATAAGAGAATAATATTTGTAGAGCAATTTCTTGTCATAGAGGAATTGAGAGGAAAACTAAAGATCTCCAATACACTCCAGTGAGTACATGTACTGTCCACCACACTACCCACACCCCGCCACTACAGAGGTTTGCAATTGTGTGCCTCTAATAAGCTCCTAGATGCTGCTGATCCATGGACCACATTTGAATAGCAGGAGTTTCCCTGTAGCCACATGGTTCTTCTCTGAGTCTCTTCTAAAGTGTTTAAGGATTCCTACTTTTTAAAGATTCATGTCTAGTTTATATGTATAAATGTTTACATGTATATTTATATACATTCACCACTTGTGTGCTGGTACCTGTGAATGTCAAAAGAAGACATTGGATAGCCTAGAACTGGAGTTATAGGCAATGTTGAACTGCCATGTGAAGAATAGGAATCAAATCCAGGTCCTCTGCAAGAGCATCAAATACTCTTAACCACTGAACCATCTCTCCAGCTCCCGTGAAGGTGTTTGGAGGGAAAATTCCTGAATTTTCTCTCTATGAGTCATTGACACAGCAAACAAATATTTGACGGCTATATTTTAATGAAAATCATTTAAATATTTTTCTTGGGTAGTAAAGGGATTCCATATTTTACTGGTAGCTACAGTATTTGAATTAGTTACTTATTATTTCTCTGTCAAAATAATTGACAGAATCAATTTAAGGAAGTTATTTTTTTTTTCCTCCTGACTCACACTTTGAAGGTATGGTCCATCATGGTGGAATATTCATGGCAGCAGAAACTTGAGCCAGCTGGTCACACTGCATCCACAGTCAGGAAACATGAACTCCAGTACTCGGCTTCCTCTCTCCTTTTTCTTAAGCCCAGGAGGCTAGCTCATGGGATGGTGACACAATGAAGAGAGATCTTCCAGGAGTGACGAGGTGACTCAGCAGTCATGGCTACTTGCTGCTCTTTCAGAGGACCTGAGCTTGTTTGCCAAGGCCCATGGTACACAGCTCCCTTGTAACTCCAGCTCCAGGGATCTGACACCATTGTTTGGCCTGTGCATGCACACACTCATACAAATAAAAATGAAAATAAACACTTAGAAACAAGATAGGTCTTTCCATGTCAGTTAAGCTAATAAGGATAAACCATACAGGCCTATCAGGAAGCAAGTTAATCTAGATAACATCACAACACCATGCCTGGAAGCTCGCCTTCTAGGTGATTCTAGATCTTGTCAAGTTGTCAATCACTGTCAAGTACCGCAATACTTTCGTTTTCATTCCACACTATGATAATAGTATACGTTAGAGAGAATTATTTCTCTTGAAATTGCCCAGTTGTGATGATATGAATTTGGCCTAATATTTATTTTTTTCCTTTTTTAAAAAATCTATCTATCTATCTATCTATCTATCTATCTATCTACCTATCTATTATTTATACAATATTCTGTCTGCATGTATGCCTGCAGGCCAGAAGAGGGTACCAGACCTCATTACAGATGGTTGTGAGCCACCATGTGGTTGCTGGGGATTGAACTCAGGACCTTTGGAATAGCAAGTAATGCTCTTAACGACTGAACCATCTCTCCAGCCCCCTTGGCCTAATATTTCATCACCAATAATATAGATCTTAGCTCAACCTGAATTAAAATAATTTGACCTTGGGACTGGAGAGATAGCTCATCAGTTAAGAGCATTGTCTGCTCTTTCAGAGGACCTGGATTCAGTTCACAACACCTACACAGCAGCTCACAGTCACCTGTAATTCCAGTCACAAGGTATCTGGTGCCCTCTCCTTACCTCCATGGACACCAGGGATGTGTGTGGTACACAGACATATGTACAGATAAAACACCCATAACCATAAAAATATATTTAAAAATAATTTGACCTTTCCCTGGTATATCAGAAAGACACCAGAGTGGAACTCAGCACCAATGACCCTGTTCTGCTTTTCTCTGTTCTTCCCCAGACAATGAGGAGTGCCATTTGAATTTCTTCTCATCTCAGCTATGATGTTCTGCTTTGATCTTCCTTATCTGCAATGTTTTTTTTTCCTTTTAGCTCTTTCTGATCTAGAAATGGCAGCACAAACTGTTGTTTTCATTTTTGCGGGCTATGACGCCACAAGCACATCCATTTCCTTTATCATGTATGAGCTGGCCATCCACCCTGATGTGCAGAAGAAACTTCAGGATGAGATTGACAGAGCTCTGCCGAATAAGGTGAGTGGATGGTACTCAGAGAGGGACGGCAGAGGTAAAGGACTAACAAGCACATGCAACGAGAATTTTTATGGAGGGCCATGCAATAGTTCTATAACCCAACAAGAGACTAAGAGAAACAAAGGGAGGGACATAGGAGATGAATGCAACCCATAGAAATATGAAATCTTTAATATAGTACTGGCTCTGATATATCTTTATCTATTATAACAATAATACTAAGAGACACAAAGAAAACCTGTGTGACACTTGAGAAGAAGCAATAGTCTCTCAGGTATCTGAACAATTATTTCTGCTGATGTCCTCGGGGTGCTGTCCCTGCTATGTCTGTTAGTAGGCTGACCTGCAGGCTCGCCTGACACTACTCTCAGTGGCTCTGTTGTCCAGTCCAATAGCATGACATTTATATATGTGGGTGTGTGGGCCAACTAGAGGATTCTTTCCTTTTCTGTGGTTTTGATAGTCTATCAGACTACTTCTTTTCTGAATCCTTGAGTGCTAACTCGAGTCACTGTAATAGTTTGAGAGTCTGTGCTGTCTGATGACCTTGCTTGTATTACTGCCAGTGTGCTGGACATGTTCTCTCACCCTCTTGGAAGTCTCCAGGTCAAACCTGCACAGATAGCTAATGTTCTAGCACCAGCTGTATGGGAATACACTCAGTGGTGCAGCTAGAGGTGAAGAAGCCAACGATGAGCTCGTGTCTCTAGCTCCTAAGTAAAAATATTATTAATGAATTATTTTGATTATTCACATTCTCTCTGTGTGTGTGTGTGTGTGTGTGTGAGAGAGAGAGAGAGAGAGAGAGAGAGAGAGAGAGAGAGAGAGAAAGAGAAAGAGAAAGAGAGAATGCATAAGTGTCCATACCATAGCACATGTATGGAGGTCAGAGAATAACTTGCAAGAGTCATCTCTCTCTTTCCACAATTTGGTCTCTGGAGTTTCAGTTCAGGCCATCAGACTTGTCAACAAATTCCTTTACCACCTAATCCATATCACTAGCAGCCTAAACCAAACTCTAAATATCTACAGGATAGTCTTTTGAACGTCACACTAAATGACAGCCATAATGCCCATACCGTCTTCATCTCTTTGCTCAAACTGCAAGGTTTGGTAATGTGATGTTACCCAGGTCTTGTGTGACTATTTGAGCAGAGTAGTGCAGAAGTGAATCTCCTCCAGGGCCTACTCTCAGGTCCTGAAGCAACAACTGCTCCATTGATCCAGTTACCAAGGATGGTAATGAGTGTGACTTTTGGTCCCCATTGGAAGATGCTTTAAACATTTTAAAATGTATACCCTTTTAAAAGTTAGCACACAAAGCAATGCGTTTCACTCTGGCATCTTTATATACGTGCCATTAAAATTGATTCATGTTCATCCTTCTCCCACTTTGTCCTCCCTCATTCTCCCTGATGTCTCTTATCAGGCATCTTCCTTCCCTTAAAGAGTATGCAGAGCTGCCTTCATTTCACATATCCCTCCCTCCTTCTGTCCGCACTCTTTCTGAGTCTGGTTTGTCTTGCTTAACCTAAATATCTCGATTTGTACCTGTTTCCAGCAAATTTTATGGTGTCATTCATCTCTGTGGTTGAAAAACTTTGTTTTGCATAAGTACCACATTTGCTTTCCTTGTTTACCTGTAGCTGGACATCAAGTTGGGTTCCTTTTCTTAGCTGTTGTGAAGAGTGCAACAATAAATATCTGTTCACTAGTATCTCTGCAGTGTGCTGGTTTAGAGACTTCTAGATATATACTAAGGTTGTGTGTGTGTGTGTGTGTGTGTGTGTGTGCGCGCGCGCGCGTGTTCCAGATAGTATTAACTGTCACCTATATATAGCTTAGAAGCACCTAAAGAATCCATGTCCTGTGGTTGTGCTCCATTGGCTGGCCCCAGTGACTGGTTGTTTTGCAACAATAAGTTCTCTGAGTCATACTGAGTGACCATGGTACTCTCAATGTGTCATAGAAACAATTGTTATCTCACCCAGAACCAAACTGGATTTTTGGCTTGTGAGGGCTAGGAGCTTCTCTTGTAGATAGGGCCCCAGTTTCTTTCCATCAGAACACCTGCTTTAACTTTTGGAGTATCCCTGTCTTACCTTCCTCCCTATGTTAGGGCACAGGGCAGCTGGAGCCAACTTCAGCTTGGCTTCTTTCCCATGAGTTAATCCATTTTTCCCTCATACTTTTCAACTGTCCTGCCACTTCCTTGTATGTTGCAGAAGTTTTTCTTCTCTTTCTTTCTCTAGAAAAGATACATATTTTTTTCTCCTTCAAAATCTCTATAACCAACTCACACAGAAGCAGCTTCTAAGTATGTCATCTTACCCAGAATCCTTTATGGTACCTTTCACTGAACTAATCCCATAATCAAAGGGGCTACCAAGATGTGGCATTGTCAATTTTAGCCTCATTGGACCAGGAGTGAGGAGTTTGTTCCTTGCCATGACATATTTCTTTGGTATAGACTGATGATCGATGGAGATGTCTGAGTGTAATTATCACAAGATGTTGGTTATATATGCTCACATGGGAAAGAAATCAGTGTTTGACAATGAGGGGATCTGGATGGAGGAGTGCCCCAAATGGCTTCTGTGCTAAAAATTATACTTCACATCCTAATGGGCCATAATCAGGATGAAGGTCATCATCAGAGTAGAATGATTAAGGATAAGCTTTACTAATCGAGGTTAGCCCTTTGAGATTCTAATATATTTGAGATGACATGACTCCAAACCTCATCTGCAAACTTGTTCCCTCTTCCCAGGCACCTGTCACCTATGATGCCCTGATGGACATGGAGTACCTGGATATGGTAGTGAATGAAACTCTCAGATTGTACCCTATTGCTAACAGGCTAGAGAGGGTCTCAAAGAAGGATGTGGAAATCAATGGAATGTTCATTCCCAAAGGGACTATAGTTATGATGCCAATCTATCCTCTTCATCGGGATCCTGAGTACTGGCCAGAGCCTGAGGAGTTCCGCCCTGAAAGGTACAGAGACTCTGTAAGAAGAGAGACCCCGGACTTGGCATGAGCTTTTGAAATTTCAAAGCTACTTCGAGTGACACTATTCTTCCAACAAGGCCATACCTAATAATCCTTCTAATCCTTTCAAATAGTGCCATTCCTTAGTGACTAAGTATTCAAATGTATACGGGCCATTATTATTCAAACCGCTATAATTCCTCTTAAAGAAAAGCATATATATGTGATTTTGTACCCCTTTACATCTATGAATCCTTTTGGAATTATAGTATTTGTGTGTGTGTGTGTGTGTGTGTGTGTGTGTGTGTGTGTGTGAAATATGTGTGCGGTTGGACGGCACATTCCAGGGATCTGATCATCTCCACCTCCTATCTTGCCACTGCTAGGATTACAGGCACACCCCACCATGCCCAGCTTTCTGTGTAGGTTCTGGGAAACAAACCTAGACTCTCACACTTACTGGACAAGTACCTTACTATGTAAGCCACCTCCCAAGTCCCATACAATTATATAATACACTTCTTGTGTTCACCTATGTGAACTCTCTATCCACACACAACCTAATTTGTCCACACTCTCCTGTTATTTCATAGCATTTATATGTAAATACCTCTCTTTTCCCCCATACAAATTAACAAAACAGTTTTTAAAACACCGATTATTCTTGTTCTTGTCACTTTTTCACAATAATTTCTTTTCACTTATATAATCAAATAATGAAAAGTCAAATTTCAATAAATTCAGGGCTACATGTTTAGTAGATATTTTTAGCTTAGTGGAGAAGGTAGACTTGGATGTCATTCATGATGCTATAGTAGAAACTCATCCTGTGCACCAGAAAGGTAATTGGCTTTAGCCATTCTGTGGAGGGAGGCAGGGAAAGCAAAAGCAATTCTGAGGAAGAAGTGGACAAGGAAAATACAAATGGGGGAAGCTACAAAGAAAGGAATGTAATGAAAGGAAAGGGAAATAATGGGGGAGGGGAAATTAACATTTCCAATACTGACAGAGAGTGTTTATCTCCCCATTCCTAAGTGTGAGGCAGGAGACTACTTTGCCATCAGTTTGGCCAATCCCAATATGTCTTTCAGAATAGAACACTTCACCATCTGGAATGGAATATTTTGTGTTCAAGGATGTGTTTTCTTTCAAAAAGCATTCATTTCCACTTGTCTTAACAATATAAAAAATACCTGTTTGGGGTGAAAGGGAAGGGCCTTTAGCTCACAATTCCTTTGTTAGACACCTGCAGCAAGGGTTCTGTTACAAGTCCATAAATGTACGCTGAACCACTCCAAACAGAGCTCTTTGGATCAATGTTCCATAGCCTCGTTTTCATCCCTACTGTGTCTCCAGGTTCAGCAAGGAGAACAAGGGCAGCATTGACCCTTATGTATACATGCCCTTTGGTAATGGACCCAGGAACTGCCTTGGCATGAGGTTTGCCCTTATCAGCATGAAACTGGCTGTCATCAGTGTCCTGCAGAACTTCACCCTTCATCCTTGTGAAGAAACACAGGTGAGGCAGAAAACTCTCAATAACGTATTTAAAAATCTTACAGTGTTACAAACACAAATAAATTGCTTGTCTTGGTTACTTTTCTGTTGCTGTGATAAAACACCATGACTAAGACAATTTATGTCTTAAAAGGTGCTTAAATTAGCTTATGATTTCAGAGGATTAAGGTTTATGGTGGCGGAGTGAAGGTATGGCAGCAGGTACAGCTGAGTGGAGAGAGAGAGAGAGAGAGAGAGAGAGAGAGAGAGAGAGAGAGAGAGAGAGAAAGAGAAAGAGAGAGAGAGGAGACTGTAAATGAATAGCACAGTCTCCTGGAACCTCAAACCCACCCCCAGTGACACACCTCCTACAACAAGGCCACTCTTCCTAATCCTTCCCAAGCAACTGAGGGACAAAGTATTCAAACATACACCTGTGCTGGCCATTCTCATGCAAACCGCCACACTGCTCACTGACATTTTAATAATGCATGTAACAAAGAATGTATTTGTTGTCTGATATGAATCTTTTCATACTGAACTGAATCTGAATAAAACACAAATAAGGAATTCATTTAGAGTTAGTGCCGATTAGTGGAAGATGACTGAATGAAATCTCCTTGAAGGAATTCAAATTAACTTGAGATGGGGAGATATTGTGCACACAGCATGTAATAAAGACCTGATCATGATATGTGACTGGTGGGCGTCACTAGGACTTAAGAGAAGTTTCCAGGTGTCAGGGGCTCCCAATCACTGGCTGTGCTTTAGAACTGCTAAAGAGCCTTAAACATTCACGATGTCTGGTCATATCAGATATGTTGAAATGATTCACCCAGAATGTGGCTTTTAAAAATACAGGTCAGTCTCCTTCACAACCAAAGTTGAAAGTCCCTGATGTGACACAGGATATGTGTGTCGCTAAGGATGGCTTTTGAGGTTTTCAAAGCCCACACTAGGTCCAATGCTGCTAGTCTCTCTGCTTGTGGATCAGATGTAGTTCTCAGCTCCTTTTCCAGCACTACAGCTGCCATGGCTGCTGCCATGTTCCCCACCATGATGATCATGGACCAAGCTTCTGAAACTACACATGTCCCCACTTGAATCCTTTCTTTTAAAAGAGCTGTCATGGTCATGGTGTCTCCTTATAGCAAAGGAATGCTGACTAAGACTATGAACATGCTATGTAAATCACCACCTGATAACTAAGTTCTAACACACATGCATGAAGTATGCAGTGCTTTCCTGTTCCATTGCCTTTCTTCATGTGAGGTGAGGAGGATATAAGCAGCCTACAGTTGCAATGTAGCTGTCCTGTAAATGTGTGCAGAGATTTATTTAGATGAATATATGGACAGAGCATTTGTCCTGGGAGCAAACAAGGCTTTGGGACAGCAAACAAGCTCCAGTCAACCACAGTTTGACACCCTTCTCTGATGACAGTTTTCTTTCCTTTCCTGAACCAAGACCAAACAGCTATGTTGTAGGCTTCCTCATCCCCTCAAGACTGAAGAAACTGAGGCAAATGATTATATGAAAACATTGAATTTCTCAAGGTTACCTTTCAAATTACCCTTAGAAGCTAAGAGTACAAGGACCGATGCTTCCTGGAGTCCTTGTCCACCATCAAATAGAATGTGCGAACCTGGTGTCCAGGCACTTTGATAATTGAGTCACTCCATAGGCACAAAATTGTGATATGTGCTCAGGATTACCTTTTACTTCAATGAGTGCAAAATTAACTTTATATTGTCTTCAAAATTCATTTTCCATATGTTTATGAAATAATCTAAATGTTTAACTGGGCCTTTTGACTTAAAATTTAAATCACTAAATAACACAAACCAACTTAACTTGTTCCCTGGCTCTGTACACACAATAGGTGCTCAGCTAATACTTACCTGATTAAGAAGATAGATAAGTGCTTTTCCCTTCCAGTCTCAGTGAATATTTAGGTATAAGAGACTCAGGATATAGGATACTGATACATAGTGTTTTAGGTATATAAAGCATGTTCCTTAATGTATCTGTACTCTTTGCTTCTATCATTGCTGGTGTGTCATCCATTGCTTCTCACTGTGATTGTTGAACTACTACAGATCCCGCCAAAGTTGAGCAGGCAACCAATTCTCCAACCAGAAATACCCATCATCCTGAAGGTTGTATCAAGAGAAAAACCCATAACTGGAGCATGAATTTCCCTCAGGAAGCATGTTATATTCTTCAGGAGGGCTGTGCCACAGAACACTAGCAAATTTAATATACCATATAATGATTGAGTGCTCAATAATTCATTGAACATGCTCAGTGTCTATACAGAGTATCATCTATTGTGTGATTCGACATAAATAATTAAGTGATTGATAGGTATGGAGATTAATTTTCTGATTCTCTTGGGACAATCTACACTGATTGCAATTGGTTCCTTCCATTCTGAACTCTAAATGTAGTAACTGTTTCTCTATAGTTCTATCAATAATTTTTAATGAAAATAGGAACTATCATGTTGACTGTTAGTAAAAGTATATCAAATTGTTTTTTGTAAAATTTTATGTTATTGAAAATATAAATAAAAATCTCTTTCAAAAATATATGATGTATACACATTAATGGGAAAACACTAAATCAACAAAACAAGATGCTAATCCTTTCCAATAAACATGGTCACCCATTGTTTGAGCCAAAAGGGGATCCACACTTGACTCTCAAGATTGGTGACACTGACCCATTTTGAAATGGCACATGGCTTGGGAAATTTGCTCATAGTCCAATTCGGTAGTCCTTGAAGGATTTTTAGTATAATTCAAGTGAAATGTTAATATTCTTTTTTAGGCTTGATCTATTTTATCATCTTCATCTCCTCTCACTTCTCTGATAGTCTATGTTTCCTCAGTCTTCTTTGGAATGCATGGTTTTTGCTATTGTCAACTTCAGTGACACTGGAATCACCTAGGATGGATAAGAACCTCCAGGCATGCCTGAGGGTGATGGTTGTTTGATTGAGTTGGCTAAGGTGTGAATGCCTACCTGCTATAGGTGGTGCCTTATGGTGTAGAGGACAATATAAGTAGAGAAAGGGAGCTGAGCAGCATGGCCTCATTACCATCTGCTTCCTGATTGTGGAGCACATGACCAGTCTTCTAGCTCCTGTCTCTGGCTTCCCTTCGATGACCTACTCTCCACTAGAACTGTGAGCCAGAGTAAACTCCTTTCCCCTTATTGTGCTTTTCTCGGGGTGCTTATCATACTAACATCAAGACAGAACCTGTCTTCATCTCCTCCCTGTCCTGTAACCGTGAACATAAATAACAATTTCTGGCTGATCAATGGATTGGGCAACAAAGATTGTTACATCTTATCTAGTATCAGAAGCCTCACTGGATTCTTCCGCTTTAGTGTCCAACCTTCCATTCTCTTTCTGGGTCATTTAGTCTAAAACCATTGTGTGGGGCTCATGAAGGAGGCTACTGCTGACTCCAAATGAGACCCAATGGTTTGGGGAAGAGGTCTACATGGAAGGCAGCCTGGCTGGGTGTGAGTCCAAGCCAGCTATAAAGCCTCCACTGATGCATGTCCTTACACAAGAAGCTTGTGCTTCAGTGAGTAGAGAACCCACTGGTGACTTCAGTGCTAGAGTATCTGATGTTTCTTCTAGCCTCTGCAGGTATCTGTTCACACATGCACGGGACCACATAGGAACACACATACACAAGCACACAAATTTAAATATAATGAGTTTTTGAAGGGATGAGCATTTGTTTACTAGGGGAGAATTTTTTTCAATTGAAAATAAATTTTTCCTCACATAATATATCCTTCTTATTTTTCTTTTCCTACTACTCCTCCCAGTTCCATATATCACACTTTTCCTACTACTCCTCCCAGTTCCATATATCACACTTCCTATCTAAATCCATTATATCTCATTAGGAAACAAATAGGTTTCTAAAGGATAATAAAATATAATACAAAATAAACTAAAACAAAGAGCTTAAGAGAAGATATAAGAGTCAGACTCTCTCATTTACGCACCTAGGAATCCTATCAAAACACTAAACTGGTAGCCATAATACATATAGAGAGGTCTTGGTGCAGAACAGTGCAGGCCCTCTTTGTGCAGCCTCAGTCTCTGTGAGTTCATACCTGCATCAGTAGAGGACCTTATTTTCTGGGCATCCTCCATATCTTCTGGCTCTTATACTCTTTCTACCTCCTCATTCACAGGATTTCCTGAGTCCTGAAAGGAGGGATTTGGTGGAGACATCCCATTTAGGGATCAGTGTTCCAAGGTTTGCATAATGTTTGGCTGTGGGTGCCTGTATTTGTTCCCATCTGCTGCAGGATGAAGCTTCTCTGGATGATGGCTGATCTGCTTGCCTGGCCAGACACAAAGTAACTTTCTAAAAATGAATTGATCCTAAGAGTAGAATATGAAGTGTCTAGGAAAATGAATAATAAGAGGGAGAAGAAAGGAGGATATGTCAGGAATTATGATCAAAGAACATTATATGCTTGAATGAAAATATTACTAGGTGCTATGTATAATAATTACATTACAGTAAAACATGAATTGACCTAGCCAGGTATGGTGGTATTTGCCTTAAATCCTAAGACTTGGGAGGCAGGAACAGGCAGATCTCTGTGAGTTCAAGGCCATTCAAGTCTACTAAGTGAGTTCTGGGACAACAGAGAAATCCTGTCTCAAAACCACAACAAAAAATAAACTGACCAATTTACAAAGAATATCTTGAATAATGAAAGCCAAGCTTCTCAGTCTTGGTAAAATGAAACATGTTCAGAGCAAAAAAGAGTCTTTGTAGGTAGGCAGTGTAGAGTAGGGTGTTTTGTGATAGAATCTTATTTCTCTAAATAGGTGGTAGATAAAAATGATAGAGTAGGGATGAGAAGATGCTCCCACGTCTCTGAAAGAGTTAGGAAACAGTGATATTCTAGCTGACATGAGCAGTACTATATCCCAACTCCTGGTTTATGTTGACTATGTTTCTGGTTTTTTGGAGAAATGACAGAGTCTGAGGTTGTGAAAATCCAAGAGGAGCTCAGAATCCTTCCTGTGACAGAAAGTACACACACGCTCAAAGACAAGATGTGTGATATAGAGGCAAAGATAGGGCCATCCGTGGAGCTTACTGGACAGATGGTCTTGCCCAAGAAATGAGCTTCAAGACACTGAGAGACACCCATCTCAAGAGGTAAAGTGGAAGTCCAATAAGATGACTCAGTGGGTAACAGTGCCAGCTATAAAGACTTACAACCAGGGTTCAATCCCCAGACACCACATGGTAGAAGAAGTGAACCAACTCCTTCAAGTTGTCTTATGACTTCTACACAGGCACCATGATACATATGGATGTGTGCACACACACTAAAATGCAATTTAAAATGCTAATAATAAAGTGAAAAGCAATTGAGGAAGACACCATCACATCACCCTCTGGCCTACACAAATGTGCACACACATGTGAACACATAAATATATACACAAGCATACAACATACACACAAATAATGGCAGATGAGTGGATATATTTCCAAGCAATAGGAAAAGTCAACGAGGGTTACACTCACCTCTACTAATAAGACTAGATCTCAACTAGATAGAACTCCATTATTTATGAAGCCAAAAGCATTTAGTTTTTGGTGTCTTCTGGACCAGAGAGGACAATTGTTCTCATGGAGCCACAAAAGTTCTGGTTACCTGCACAAGACCCACACAAGATCAGCCAGTCATCTTTCCATAATGGATGTGGAGGGGCTCTTCAGTCCTAACCACGTAGCTGAGGAACTCATGAGAGTTTATGGTTACTAGAGAAGGAAAAGCCATTTTTTTTTCTCAGAGATATAGTCCCAGATATTTGCATCTACTCCAGTGAATGAACCCACACTATGAACATATGGGCAACACTAATTAGACTCAGTTGCTTATAAGTGAAAAGAAGACATGACATTGAGAGGGGGATTTGGGAGGGCATTCAAAGAAATTTGATCATGAAACTAGAGGATGTACATGAACAAATTACCTCTTGTATACATGTAAGAAAATCTCAAAGAATACAACTTTTAATTATATGCATAAAAAGTGTTTTATTTCTGGTTCTTCTTGGTTCAGATTTCTATCTTCCCTCTAGATATATATGAAAACATCATTTTACCTTGTAGTGTTCACAGTGCTTGAAGGTGCCATACACTATACTGGATGAGACAAGTAATTTACAATGTCATCCAGTGAACCATGTAAGTAACAATAATGATCTGCCTGAAAGCTATGACCACTGGTGCAATTGTGGCAGAAATGTTATGGGACTAGCCAAACGCTTATTAAGTGGTATTTCAGGCCCATTCTATGAGATGGAATGCATATCCAACACTGAGTTCAATGAGATCAAGAACCCAAGACTAGATAAACTGTGAGTCCTAGGAGAATACCTACTACTAATAATCTATTAAATTAATATAGCAAAAAAAATGCCTAATGACATACTGCTCTTTCCATAGAATTGGGCATCACTTAGCCCTCATCAGTAAAACTTCTTGTAGTAGATAGTAGTTAGCAAAAACCTCTACAACTTGTCAAAATAAAGAAATAGACTTTGGAATGCTTGGTTCTGACCATGATGTCTATGTCATACTCCTCTCCTCAAGGCTCTGGGATCTATGTAGAATAGAAGTCAGAAAGTTTGTAAGAACCAGAGGTAGTGGATGACTTCAAGGAGACAGCATTTTCCAGACACAGCATGGCAAATGCACATATGAATTTACAGAGACCATGAACAGAATTCACAGGAAGTGACCAAGCTCAAACCAGAGAAAATCCTAGTATATAGGAGCTCAGTATCTGGGAAAGCTATCTGGGAAAAATCTAAGTTAAAATCAAGTTTTCATTATTAATCCTAAGTCTCCCTGTCATTATTTGTGAGGTAGCAAGTCAAAGAAAATTTAACTGCACACACATAAATACACACACACACTCTCACACACACAAATAAATAAATAAACATTACTATTGAAAAAATAATAAAGAAAGTACGGCCAAAATTGCATTTGTTTCTCAACTGACATGGTGGATATTTGTTTAAATTGGCACCAGAATGGACATGAGGGATGTCAGAGGTATGGGAAAATTAATCATTACAATGTGATCAAATAAAAATATGTCAAAGAACTTCAGGAGGTGATAGTAACATTTGTTGAGATACAGTTTCATGACAGAGCACATGCTTTGCATGCATGAGATTTTAGGATCTCCTCCACATAGCAAGGAATTGATCTCAAAAGAGTATAAAACCAAGATCATGAAGAGAAAAGGCAGAGAGAGCCTTACAGTTTTAATCTCAAATATGGGAATAAAGTAAGAGCCAAGGAGGGGTGATGTGAAATGTTATATCCAGGACATGGCATGGTCCACTTATTAACTGACAACCAGATTGAAATTGTACTAATTATATTGATCAGCATCCTAGCAGGCAGCACTGATTGAACTCAATGGGTGATTAAAAAAGAGAATGGGACATAAGTTGGGAGGAAGATGTGTTGGGGTGTCTCAGGG